TGTAGTGAAATCATTTTTTCTGTTTTGAAATATTTTTCCTTTGGGAAAGAATTTAAAATTATTTATTTGTGGTGTTCTGAAATCTCACAATTCAATGTAGATCTTACTTAAAAAAATTTTTTTTTGTCTAGTCTTTTATGGGTCCTTTAACTCTAAAGAACTGTGACTCAGCACCTCTGAAAAATTTTCTTCAGTTATTTCTTTGCTATTTTCATTCTTTCCATTTTATTGGTTGTCTATTTGGAACTCTGTTATTCGTAACTTGGACTTCCTTGATTAATCTCAATACCTTTTTTTTTTTGACCCTTATATTTTCCATTTATGACTTTTTATTCTGTATTCTAGAAGATTTTGTCAAATTTTTTCCAGTTCTGCCTTTGACTTTTAGATTTTGTTAATCATATTTTTAGTCTCTTAAAGCCCTCTTGTTTTCTAATTGTTTATAATAACATAGTATTTTTATTTATGAATAATCTGATTGAATCTCTCTTAAAATACTGTTTTTTAAAGGTCCCTTCTATGCTCTGAATTATTTTTATTTTATTCAGCATTGCTTTTTTGTTTGTTTATTTTAGTCTTTCATTTTCTGATTTCTCTTAAATTCCTTATGCTACTTGGTAATCCATTTTTACTATAGAAAGAATTGGGTCACTTGTGTGAATTTGCTCAGCTGCTGTGTCACTGGGTCAGTTTTCCCAAGGAGACCTTTGACTAGTATGGGATAGGAACACTGTACTAGCTATTAGATTTCACTACCACATGATCTGGTAGGAAGCTGACTGTCAGACATGGACTTTTAAAATGCCAGAATATGAAGGATTGTAGACTGGGGTATCCAGTTTCACAAAGGCCCTTGCTATCATTCAACCAAAGAGGGCTTTGTTTTTGCCTGTTTTTCCTGGATCCTAGAAGTCTTAAGACTATGGAGGGAGCACAGAAGTGCTGATTTGTACTGTAGACTTGTATATAAACCTTTAATTAATATTCTCACTTTTGGCCACATTTCTCACTCTCAACTTTTGAGTCCAGAATGTATCATGCTTTCTAACAGGCATATCATATCCCACCCTTTTTGTAGCTTTTCTATAGTGCATTCTTCACTCAACCCACTCTCATATGCTCTTCATCGTCCAGAAATTATTGCCCTCTCGGGCAATTGTGAGCAAATACCATCCTGCACATCCTTAGCTGGTATGGCAGTGTTTATCCCTTTCTGTATTTTTATTCTTTTATTTCCATGTGTCTCAGGAAGGAAAAGAGATGGGCTTAAGTGCATCTTATATCATCTTGAGCTAGTAGTTTGCAGTTGCTTCTATTTTATTGTTTCATGGTGGAAATATAATTCAAGTTAAATAATGAGTTACTTCTTAATCACTTTTGCAGAATTATTCCTCTATAATCATTATCATTTGGCTTCCCTGATGCCTCAGATGGTAAAGAATTGTCCTGCAATGCAGGAGGCCCAGGTTCCATACCTGGGTTGGAAAGATCCCCTGGAGAAGGAAGTGACTAGCCACTCCAGTATTCTTGCCTGGGACATCCCATGGACAGAGGAGCCTGGTGGGCTATACAGTTCATGGGGTCGCAGATATGTATGTAAGGAATCTGAGGACCACTGGCATTTAAGGGTATCAGGCAGGCTTTGACAGAATGAGTACAGATGTGTGCAAAAAACTAAGAAGGATTCTAAGATACTGAGAAACTTATTCTAAAATTGATCTCATTCATTCTGTAACATCTGATAAATGCCTGGAATGGGCCAAGTACTAGGCTAAGTGTTGGAAAAGTAGATGGATATAAACATGAATAAGGTACAAACTTTACCCTTGAGGATTGCATAATCTGGTGAATAATTTGAGTTTATGCATCATTGTGCAGTGTATAAGTCAGTTTTACCTATTGTGGACTCTTGACACTTGCAGATTTACCATTCAGCCTTTTAACTATTCCTAAGGGACTCATGGACTGAGATCAGTCCTGGGTATTCATTGGAAGGACTGACACTGAAGTTGAAACTCCAATACTTTGGCCACCTCATGCGAAGAGTTGACTCATTGGAAAAGACCCTGATGCTGGGAAGGATTGGGGGCAGGAGGAGATGGGGACGATAGAGGACGAGATGGCTGGATGGCATCACCAACTCGATGGACATGAGTTTGAGTAAGCTCCGGGAGTTGGTGAAGGACAGGGAAGCCTGGTGTGTTGCGATTCATGGGGTCACAAAGAGTCGGACACGACTGAGCGACTGAACTGAACTGAACTGAAGGGACTCCAGTGATCCATGACATGCAATAATTTATTCATTCACTTAGGTACAAATTTGAGTTACATGCACCATGAGACTGTGTAGAATGTATAGCTGCCTGTGTGGTGAAAGAGCCAAATTCATTCTTGTGGAATCTTTAAGTAGCCTAGTGCATACTGTGCATGCATTTATAGCCAGATTCTTGAACCATCAGAACTCGATGGGATTACAAACATGAAGTTGGTTTATTTCCCCTTTATCATTGCCTTTAATAATGTTCTTTCAAATATCTTTTCTTCTTGTTTTGGCATCTTGGGTATCTTCCATAGCTTTCTTAACACTTTCTGTTAAAAAGTTCAGTGTAGTCCAATTTAAAATTTGAACCCATCTCTTCCAATTCCCCAGCTCAGATTTGAACTCTGTAGGGGAATTAAGAGTGGGAGAGAGGGCCTGTTTTGTTATTTTCCTTCTCTTCCCTCCCTCCTGGTTTTAGATCTTTGTATTGTGACATATAGAAGGAGAAAGAGTGTCTGTTACTTTCCTGGCCACTGCCCTAGTCCCACATGGTCGTTGCTACTGAGGCTAAGATGTAACTGACTACCCATAAACTCTCTCCTTGACAAAGCCTGGCTCTCTCATGGTGTGCAAGTGGAAATTTTCTGGGGAAGTCCTTACTGACTAGTCTTTTGATCTGAGAAATCAGTTTTGGCTTTCTCTCCACCAAACCCCTTCAGCTCCATCCCTGGTGATTCATCTCTAGTCTCTTGTCAGGCGATGTACCACCAGGAAGGTGCAAGCCCATTTCCTTGGCTCCATACCCTCCCACGACAGGCTGCTTCAGTGCTGTCCTCTATCTGCACCATTGGTTTATTTCCACTCTCTTGTGGTTTCTGGGTCTCACATTTCTCTGCTAAAATGGGCAGAGGGCTGTAGTAAGTCTGCCACACAAAGCCGTATCCAGCTGGAAATTGAGATGCTGGTCTGCCCTTCTCATGTCCGTGTATGCTCAGTCACTTCAGTCACGTCTGACTCTGAGACCCTATGGTAGCCCGCCATACCATTCCAGCTCTAGCCTGGGACTGTAGCTTACCAGGCTCCTCTGTCCATTGGATTCTTCAGGCAAGAATACTGGAGTGGGTTTTCATATACTCCTCCAGGAGATCTTCCCAACCCCAGGATCGAATGCAAATCTCTCATGTCTTGGCATTGACAGGTGGGTTCTTTACCTCTAGAACCAACTGGGATACCCTCTGTCTCTGTGAGAGATTCTCTCAGAGCCTGTGTGGTTGAAACCCAGAAGAAAGAATCCACCCTTTCAATGAGGAGGGGAGGAAAAATCCTCTGAACTCTGATGACTGTATCCTGCCAACTCCACTGTCTCCAATCACCTCCCTCACTCATCTTTTGCTTATGTAGACATGAGCAAGAGGCAGCAAAAGTGATGCAAGGATCTAGCCCACATTTTCTGTGGAGAGCCTTTTTTGTTTCTAGATTCAGATCCAACTTGGTGATTGTGAGTCAGCAGGGACAATATAACTAAACAGCCTATTATACATTTTATGCTGTCTATGTAGTCATGTTAACTGGGGACTTTATAAGGTTCTGGAAACACTCCTCTTGAATGTATATGGCTATGTTCTCTCAAGATATTCTTTGTAGACCACCTGTATCTGAATCAATTGGGGATCACAGGGGGAAATGCGAATTCCTAGTGTCTAGGCTCTGAAGGGTTGAGAAGGAGTCAGGAATTACAGTTTTCAACAAACACCCCAAGGTTCACTGATGCATACTAAAGTTAGACAGCCATTTGTCTTGAGCCCACCACACATTTCCTATGTCCTCCCAACACCACTGTTCAGCAGGTCAGGCTGGTATTATCCCCATTTACTGCTGAGGAAATTGAGATTTAAAGGAGAAACATGGCTTGCCAAGTGGCAAATTCATCACTTTTGCTAGCAAAGTGTGTGTGTGTGTGTGCGTGTGTGTGTGTGTGTTAGTCACTCAGTCGTGTCTGACCCCATGGACTGTAGCCTGCCAGGCTCCTCTGTCCATGGAATTCTCCAGACAAGAATTACTGGAGTGGGTTGCCATTCCCTTCTCCAGGGGAATATTCCTGACCCAGGGGTTGAACCCAAGTCTCCAGCACTGCAGGCAGATTCTTTACCATCTGAGCCACCAGGGAAGATCCCCAATAATAAATGTCAAGTCATCCCACCACTATGCCCCTGAACATAATTTTAAACAGAGAGAAAATATAACTAAATGTATCTTTTTTCAGATCACTGAAATAATATATGTTTATCTCATGAAACCCATAAAATACAAAATTATCTAAACAAATATAATGCCATCATTCAGATATAATCATTTGTTTCTGCATATAATGTGTTATAACTGTTTTTGCAAAATTAAATCATATTTTGATACTCTTTAGTAACCTGCTTCCTAAATTCATCCATTAAATATTTTTCAACATTATTTTCAATGGCAGTATAATCTTTTAGTTTATGGATGTGGAGTTCTTTATTGAACCAATTCCCTGTTGATGGACAATTTGATTATTTTGACTTTTTACTATTACCAAAAGCTACTTTAAATGTTAGGCTACTTGACAGGGATTTGGGGAATATGTTGCAACTCCCTAGAGGAAATGAAGCAGACTTTTAAAGGTCATGTTATATTAAAGTATACCCGATGATATGAAATGACATGAAATATTTCCACAGTCACTAAAAATATTATGTTGTTTTTTTAGGAACAAGTCCATTTTGTTTTATTTTAACCTGCTCACCTGTACCAGTCCCTCCGTGGTGGTAAACCTACAGTGCCCTACCACACAGGTAAGGCAAAAAATATGCCTCACTGGTTTTAGCAATTTTGAACATTCTTGGATGACAGAACTGAGAAACTCTATTTGAATTCTGGATGTGTGTGATTAATGATGAATTTATGGAAGGTGACAAGACAAAAGTATAATCTCATGTTTGTTCATATACAATAAAAACAGAGATTAATCATTCAGTATCACTAGGAACCTCATTGATTATCTTGTCCAACCACCTATTTTTATAAGTGAACAAACTGCAGTATAGAGAAGTGGAGATATTTTTCTCAAGATTAGTATTAGGAAGAATAAAGCCATCTATTGTAGCTAATAAACTTCAGTTTTTCAGTGACTGAACACAATAGTTTCTTTTTGGTCATATAATAGTATAAAGTGGTGTTTGTTGTCAGTGGGCAGCTCTTTCCTGGCTCCTTTCATCTGGTGACTCTGTCATCGCTTAAAGCCTCAGCAGCAACAGCAGCATCCAGTTGCCAGAAGGAGGCAAAAGGCTGAATAAAGCACCCCTGCTCTTAAAAGCCTTTGATCAGTTGGGTCACACATTGTATTTCTACTCAAATACCATAAAATTATAGTTTTAAATGTTCAACCTGAGATGCAAGAAGGAAAGAAAGAAGGAATAAAGCAATGTAATTGTGGACTAAGCAGCCTCTTGTGTACCATGAAGAAATGAAACAAGAGGCACAGATATCAGTGGGTGGTTCATTTTGTTTTCTATAGTCTATCCATCTGTCCTCCAGAGGACCCTTCTTCCCAAGGGAGACAACTCAGAGTCCTGTGTGGTACTGGACTTCAACCCACAGCCTAGAACCTATGGATGATGGATAGTCTCTCTATCAGGTCTTGACGCTAACGCACAACGGGAAACAGGCCTAGGGAAGTTAGAACACAAACTCCCGTTCAGAAAGGAAAGAGGTGTAAGTACACAGTGGTCTTTAGTACATAGCATGAGAACAGTCTTCTATTCTCTTTGGATTGTGTTCTCTGAAGGAAGTTCCTTATCTGTCATCCTGTGATCCTTCACTCAACAAACTGGAAGGTTATTTCCTGTCTGTCAACCTCAGGCCATACCACTGCTGAACACTGGAAATATGCCCTCTTAGAGGCCACGTGGCTTTGAAACTCTCTTCCTGTTGTACAAGTTTATCATGTCAAAGATTATTTTAACAGTCAAAGACCTTTTCAGGTTAGGTCATGAATTTAGCAGTACAACTACCTCAAAAACTCAGTAGGATTTTGACTTATATGCTTCCTCTTGGTTCCTTGTGCAAGTAAACCACAGCCAAAGTTCTTCTCTAGAACTAAAATCTGCTTGCTTTCCTCCTCATGTCCCTCAAAGGCTTTTGATATCTTATTTCCTGCTGAGATTTAAGCCATCTTGGGGTATTAACATCTTAGTTCTGTGACCACCTCTACCACAGAACCTTGTTTTTATCACAGCCACTCACCCCCAAGGTCAAATCCTTGATCTTGTCAGTACCAATAATTACCACCCTTAATTTCAAACATCATACTATCTAATCATTTCAGTCCCTCTAATATTTCAACTCCAGTTATTCTCCTACCTCACTGGGACCTACAAACCACTGACCTGGTGCCCTTCAAAGTTTCCTCAGTTCTATCATGTTTCCATCTCCTTCTTTATATGATTTAAAGTCCATGGTTCCTCTTGAAAATCACTCCTTTATAGAACTCTCATACATTATTTGTGGGAATGTAAATTGGTGCAGCAGGAATGGAAAACACAATGGAGGTTTCTTAAAAAACTAAAGATAGAATTACCATGTTGTTCAGCAATTCCACTCCTGAGTATAAATCCAGAAAAAACTCTTAATTTGAAAAGATACATGCTCCTCAGTGTTCATAGCAGCACTATTTACAATAGCCAGCACATGGAAGCAACCTAAATGTTATTAACAGATGAATGGTTAAAGATGTGGTACCTATACACAATGGAATACGGCTCGGCCGTAAAAAGAATGAAATACTGCCATTTGCAGCAACTTGGAGGGCACTGCTTAAGTGAAATAAGTCAGACAGAGAAAGACAAATACTGTATGATATCACATATGAGGAGTCTGAAAAATTATACAGATGAATTTATTTACAAATCAGAAACAAACTCACAGACAGAAAACAAATTTATGGTTGCCAAAGAGGAAGGGAGAAGAGAGATAAATTATGAGTTTGGTACTAGCAGATATATACTACTATATATAAAATAGATAAACAGGGTTCTATATAGACAGGTTCCCTGTTTAGTACAGGGAACTATATTCAATATCTTTTAATAAAGAATAATGGAAAAGTATATATATGTATATATATATGTGTGTGTGTGTGTGTGTGTGTGTGTGTGTGTGTGTGTGTATGTGATTGGTGATTGAAGTAAAGTTCGATGTTGTAAAGAGCAATATTGTGTAGAAACCTGGAATGTTAGGTCCATGAATCAAGGCAAATTGGAAGTGGTCAAAAAGGAGATGGCAAGAGTGAACATCGACATTTTAGGAATCAGTGAACTAAAATGGACTGGAATGGGTGAATTTAACTCAGATGACATTATATCTACTACTGTGGGCAAAAATCCCTTAAAGAAATGGAGTAGCCATCATAGTCAACAAAAGAGTCTGAAATGCAGTACTTGGAGGCAATCTCAAAAATGACAGAATGATCTCTGTTCATTTCCAAGGCAAACCATTCAATATCACAGAAATCCAAGTCTATGACCTGACCAGTAATGCTGAAGAAGCTAAAGTTGAACGGTTCTATAAGGACCTACACGACCTTCTAGAAGTTACACACACAAAAATGTCCTTTTCATTATAGGCAACTGGAATGCAAAAGTAGGAAGTCAAGAAACACCTGGAGTAACAGGCAAATTTGGCCTTGGAGTACAGAATGAAGCAGGGTAAAGGCTAATAGAGTTTTGCCAAGAGAATGCACTGGCCATAAGAAACACCCTCTTCCAACAACACAAGAGAATACTCTACACATGGACGTCACCGGATGGTCAATACTGAAATCAGATTGATTATATTCTTTGCAGCCAAAGATGGAGGAGCTCTATACAGTCAGCAAAAACTAGACCGGGAGCTGACTGTGGCTCAGATCATGAACTCCTTATTGCCAAATTCAGACTTAAACCGAAGAAAGTAGGGGAAACCACTAGACCATTCAGGTATGACCTAAATCAAATCACTTACGATTATACAGTGGAAGTAAGAAATAGATTTAAGGGATCTTGAATCTTCAGAGTGCCTGAAGAACTATGGATGGAGATTCTTGACATTGTACAGGAGGAAGGAAAAAGAAAAATCAAAAAGGCAAAATAGTTGTCTGAGGAGGCCTTGCAAACAGCTATGAAAAGAAGAGAAGTGAAAGGCAAAGGAGAAAAGTAAAGATATACCCATTTGAATGCAGAATTCCAAAGAATAGACAGGAGAGATAAGAAAGCCGTCCTCCTCTGGGAGAAGGCGAGGGTGGGATGTTTCAAGAGAACAGCATCGAAACACGTATATTATCTAGGGTGAAACAGATCACCAGCCCAGGTTGGGTGCATGAGACAAGTGCTCGGGCCTGGTGCACTGGGAAGACCCAGAGGGATTGGGTGGAGAGGGAGGTGGGAGGGGGGACCGGGATGGGGAATACATGTAAATCCATGGCTAATTCATTTCAATGTATGACAAAAACCACTACAATGATGTAAAGTAATTCGCCTCCAACTAATAAAAATAAATGGAAAAAAAAAAAAAAAAGAAAGCCGTCCTCAGTGATCAATGCAAAGAAATAGAGGAAAACAATAGAATGGGAAAGACTAGAGATCTCTTCAAGAAAATTAGAGATACCACGGGAACATTTCATGCAAAGATGGGCTCAATAAAGGACATAAATGTTATGGAACTAACAGAAGCAGAAGATATTAAGAAGAGGTGGCAAAAATACACATAAGAACTGTACAAAAAAGATCTTCATGACCCAGATAATCATGATGGTGTGATCACACACCTAGAGCCAGACATCCTGGAATGTGAAGTCAAGTGGGCCTTAGGAAGCATCACTACAAACAAAGTTAGTGGAGCTGATGGAATTCCAGTTGAGCTATTTCAAATCCTAAAAGGTGATGCTGTGAAAGTGCTGCACTCAATATGCCAGCAAATTTGGAAAACTCAGCAGTCGCCACAGGATTGGAAAAGGTCAGTTTTCCTTTCAACCCCAAAGAAAGGCAATGCCAAGGAATGATCAAACTACCACACAATTGTACTCATCTCACACGCTAGCAAAGTAATGCTCAAAATTCTCCAGGCCAGGTTTCAACAATATGTGAACCATGAACTTCCAGATGTTCAAGCTAGATTTAGAAAAGGCATAGGACCCAGAGATCAAGAGATTGGAATACCAGAACACCCGACCTGCCTCCTGAGAAATCTGTATGCAGGTCAAGAAGCAACAATCAGAAATGGACATGGAACAGTGGACTGGTTCCAAATTGGGGAAGGAGTACGTCAAGGCTGTATATTGTCACCCTGCTTATTTAACTTCTATGCAGAGTACATCATGAGAAATGCTGGGCTGGAAGAAGCACAAGCTGGACTGGATGAAGCAGTCATCCTGGAGACATGCCTGATGCCTGGAGAAATATCAATAACCTCAGATACACAGATGACATCACCCTTATGGCAGAGAGTGAAGAAGAACTAAAGAGCCTCTTGATGAAAGAGGAGAGTGAAAACGTTGGCTTAAAACTCAGCATTCAAAAACCTAAAATCATGGCATCTGGTCCCATCACTTCATGGCAAATAGATGGGGAAACAGTGGAAACGGTGACATACTTTATGTTTTGGGGCTCCAAAATCAGTGCAGATGGTGACTGAAGCCATGAAATTAAAAGATCTTGCTCCTTTGAAGAAAAGTTATGACCAACCTTGTCTAGCATATTAAAAAGCAGAGACATTATTTTGCCACCCAGGGTCCATTTAGTCAAAGATATGATTTTCCAAC